CTCTGTGTCCTGTTTGACTACATTCACCACCAAGTTTACTTCTTTGCTTCACTTTGACTGAGCGTCTTCTGCTGCCTGGGTCCTTTACTCCTTCCCTCCACTAAGCTTCCTTTAGATATGTTGTCTTTTGATATATCTGGTTTCCCAGTTCATACAGCACTATGCTTTACTGTCTGGGGGCTATTTATAACTGGTGCTATATATTTGGTCTTTGTTATTTTATAGATTTTATTGCATTGTTGAGAAGTGCTATGTATCATATATCTGTATTCCCCCCAGTATTAATCTAAGAACTACTCAAGCTTGTTCACTAAATTCTTCATTTATATAAAGTCTATCTATAACGTTATTCACCACTACTGATATTTGGTAATACTTTGAACTAGGTATTTTCAGTAATATTGCCTTTGCTTGATAATGAATTTTGATGAAAGAAGCATTTACTATAATGGAAAGCTAGCATGCTGATGTAACCTCAGACCAAATACCCACCTCCCAAATCAAACTATTCTGAGAAAACTTGCATTCCCAAACTTAAAAGGCTTTCCCAGCCTATCGCTGATATCAATGGTGCTTTGTTCAGTATACCAGACATTGAGTGATGTGCTTTAGAGGTTCAGTGATGTCTTTCTGAGTAACTTTAAAGTAAAGGTCCAGTAGAACCTCAGCCACTGTTCTCAGCTCCTCCCCGTCAGCCTGGTCCTAAGGCAAATTCTTCGCCACGTAAGCATGGTGTGTGCCTTCCCAGCTACTCAAGGGACTGAGGCTGGAAGGTCTCTTGAACTTCTAAGTTACAGACCAGTCTGATCACTCTTTGAAAAAGAAAGAAATGGATTCATTTAAAAGTAAAGCTCATACAATGTTTCTTAGATTGGTGTAATTTTAATAAATGTTTATAAGCATTTTGATAGTTTTTGAGGCATTATTTTAGGTAGTATTTAAGAAGTTTTTGTGAGTCTTTAATAGGTAATTTAGACCTTCCCATTACTTTAGACTAGGTTCTCCACATTTAAGAACATTCTCTCCATCTATTGGACAAAGTGTTACATTACACCTACAAACAAATGGCAAAGACCCTAGTCCTATCTCAGATCAAACATAATTTATCCAGTTAGTAAATGTTTTGATTTTCATGATAGTATTATCTTATTATCAAAATATTTTAAGATATCTAGTGATATTTTTCAAAAAATCTACAGTAAGGTGTCTCTGTAAGTTAGAGTTTTTCTTAATGGAATTAAAAGACATTGTATTTAAAAAACATAAAATTAATGATGGGGGGGTGATTCAGTTGGCATTGATCCAGTTAGACTGAGAAAAAGTAAATCCCAAACCACATCCTTCTATCTCCTTTATTGTTCATAAGAAAATGGAAAGAGAAGCTTCCTTCTGTTCCATTTAACCCTAACATTATCCTGCTAAATAAGAAGCAAGCACAGATGCTTTGTAGTGCATTTCCTTAGATCCTCTGTGACTCTCTTCTTTAAAGGGAAATATATTCCCTTCCCTCCTTACTCTTCTGAACAGGGTCTTCAAATGCATATTGAGTAGCACTAAAAGCGCACTTTAGTTACTACTCCTCTAAGGAACAGCACAGGAATCCCAGCCTGAATTAAAACTACTGCTTTTATGTTTTTAAATCACAGCATACTTATAATGAGTGTTTTAAAAAATGTAGGTTTAATGAATAGCACCCAAAAAGAGCTTTCCTATATTCCCTTGATACCACTCTGTGCTACCTTCAACCCTGTGTTCCCTGGTTGTCCTGAGGACACCCAGTGTGCTACAAAGCATCTCACACCTACTCTGGTCTACAGTTCGTGCCTTGTGGAATCATGCATTTTGTCAGGGAGGACTTCAGTCATTCTGCTTTTCTGGAACCTATCATTTTTGTCTATAAAGTGAATGTTTAATTAGATAGTCCTCCAGTTTCTTGGCAGGACCAAATAAATATATTTGTAAGATAATACAATTCTAAGAAAAATATTAAAGGGCTAGAGAAATGATTCAGTTGGTAAAATCCTTCACACACACACACACACACACACACACACACACATTGACCAGCCAACTTCCATTAATCAATAGTAAACTCCAAGTTAAGTGAGAGAATTTATCTCAGAAAACAAGGTGGAGAGCAATTGACGGAGACACTTACCATCAACCTTTGGCTTACACACCCCGCCACACACACACAGACACATGTCCATACACCACACACATAACTATGTACACACAAAGAAAATTTGAAGTTGGAAAACCGTTTTTTTGACTGTCTGAGCTACATTATACCCTTTCCTGTTTTGTTTTTTTTACATTTGTTTGTTTTTTTGTTTGTTTGTTTGTTTGGTTGGTTGGTTGGTTATTTTTGTCTTCTTTTCCTGATTAAAGGTTTGATTTGGGTGATGCATAATTGATCAGTGACTCAGTGAGTCCTCTACCTCCCCAGCTTGACTTACTTAGAACACTTGGTACATGACACTGAATATGAATAAATCTATGAACGAAAATTAGAAAAAAATTGTTTTAAACTAATGGACCATAAATTGTGTGTGTGTGTGTTTGTGTGTGTGTTTAAAGAGGTGGTTGCAAATGCACATGGACATGTTGAAAATAAACCCCAGGGCATTGTGTATATAGGGCAGCTCACTGTACAACTGAGCTACATGTTCAGTTCTGGATAAAGATTCTAATGGGGACATGCTGATAACAGTTTAATTTGAATTCACTTCTGAATTCAGTAATTTCCTTTAGCCACATAGCCCCTGGCCTATCCCAGGCTGTCACTCTCTTCTCTCAAGAACAGATGAGAATTGAGTTTGATGCTGATTGATGTCTCACTAGAGGAGGGTTTTGTTTTTATTTGAAAAAGTATATCTGGGTTAGAAAGACTATTCTACTGAAAGCTGTGTATATGGCTATTTTTTGTCCTCCAACTTTAAAAATCTGTATTGAACTCAATGCATTTCATTTCTTCTATGTTCATTTACCTTACTTAGTACAGGAGTTTATTGTTCTGTTTTGGTGCTGGAAGTTGAACACAGGGCCTAATGTATGGCAGTCATTTGACTCTACCATCGATCTATGCTTCTAGCTCCAGTAAAAGATAGAGACATATATATGTATGCACACATGCGCGCGCACACACGCACACACACGCACACACACAGACACAGACACACACACACACACACACACAAAAGATGTCCTTTGGGAATTTGGTAGACCATGTTTTGGTCATACTCACCCTCTCTCCTCTAAGTTTTCTAATATTCATCCCTTCTTTCTTTCACACCCAACTTTACACCTCCCTGAATCCAGGTCAATATGTTCTACCCAAATATTTTTGGATAATGTGACCTTCCACTGAACTATTGTATGTTTATCAGGGGCTACACTCTTTCAGGTAACTGACCCTCCATCTCCTATCAGCTAACCACTCATAGTTACTGTTCCTCAACTAAGAGGGAGACTTTGTCCATTCTCCACTCCACTCGGGGGTTTGGTCTGTCTTGGATTTGCACAAGTATAGTGCATGCTGTCACAACAGTTGTGAATTCATATTGAAGCTACCCTGCTGTGCCCAGAAGATATTTTGTTGTAGTCATCTACTACTGCTTGCTTTTAAAATCTTTCCTCCTATTCTCTTCTCCAGTGGTTCTTGAGTCTTTGGAAGAGAGATAGAGGACATATGTTCCACTTAGAGTTTGGAATTCTGGAGTCTCATATTGTCTACCCTAGGCCAGTGGTGCGTCTGAGGGTCATTCACCGTCTATTGCAAATAGAAGACCCTAACATGAAGGATGATAGATGTATTAATCCGTTGGTATAATGATACATCATTAGGAGTTAATACTTTATTCATTTAACTTCATACTAGTAATAGATTCTCTATTTGGTTCTCTATAGCCAAATAGTCTATTTGTCTAGCCATAGGTTCTTGACCCATCCAATAATGGTTTTTGAAAGAACACATGCAGTAGTAAGTTATCTCACAGTCCATTTTGTGAGAGCTCAAAATCTAGACAGTAAAGTGATGTAGTAAATGTTTTCAATTAACCATCAGTCTTGACCATAACGAACAGATAGGGTAGTGTCTTTGGTAGCATGAAAGATGCTTCACAGGTCTCTAAAGTTTCTGGCAAAACTTTTAGATAAAAACTAAGTCCTGAAGAATGAATATCAGCTGCCTTAGCAAAGGAGAGGTGAATAATCAAGAGACCAACTCAGGAAACAGTAGCCAGAGAGAAGAGTGGTAGTTCGATGTGAGTCAACTGTAAAGTACCTGATGGTCTAAATTGGACCTTGGGTTAAGAAGATGGTTGCTTGCAGCTGAGAGGTGATCAAGACCTTCAGTCTAGCCAAGAAGTTTTATTTTATTCTGAAGCAAATTGAGTTGATGAAGGGTTTCAACTGATGAATGTTGTAGTCAGTATTATTTGCATTCTAAGATCTACTGGAAAAGCCATTATGTGTCCACAGCAAAAAATGGAGAAAGAAGTGATTGAGTAGATATAGTGTGACAAGGAAAAGAAGCCCATGTCCAGGTGGATTGTGACATCAGACAGTGGCAGTTGTTCAGCCGAACTCAAATATTTACTGGATTTCTATAAATTTGTTCTTTTCTAAACAGGAATTCTGTGCTCAGAGCTATTTTGCAGAATGACCTATTTTTTTTTAATGAAGTTAAGTTTAGAAAGACTTATGCCTTGTAAATTGTCAAAAGCCAAGACAAACAAGAATGTTAACCCAATGTTATGTTTGCAGGTATGGGTTTGTTTGTTTGTTTGCTTGCTTGCTTGAAGTGCCAGGCCTCGAACTCAGGGTATTTGTTATACTATGCAAACATGCTATCACTACATCTGTAGTTTGATGTAATTTTTACTAGCAAGAATCAGATGTAATATCTTCCTGTCATTACCAAAATCAGGCTAACTGCTCTGCTGAGATACCAGCATGTCAGTGCTCTCACCAATGTAACTCTCTTCCTCTATTCACAGTTTCGATGTGGACAATGGAACATCAGCGGGACGGAGTCCCTTGGATCCCATGACCAGCCCAGGGTCTGGGCTGATTCTCCAAGCAAACTTTGTCCACAGTCAACGCCGGGAGTCCTTCCTGTATCGATCTGACAGTGACTATGACCTCTCTCCAAAGTCTATGTCCAGGAACTCCTCGATTGCCAGTGATATGTGAGTATAAGGATGGGCAGAAAAGGCAGAAGCTCCTAGAAAAACTTGAGCAGATTCATCTCTGAAGTGGATGATGTCATAAATGATGATTTCATCTGACCACATCCTCTTCCTTTGAGGAAGAAAGTGAATAATATCCTCCAAGCTGAAGAGGAATAGTAGATTTAACTTGAATACACTGTCACCTTGAATAAGGGGAATAACACTTTCTCAGAAAATATATTGTTTGGTAAAAGTAGAATTAAACATTTAATGGAAAATTATCCTTAAGACATCAGCCTATATTTGTGTAAGACTCAAGATTTAAATACTCAGCCACATGAAAGTTTTCTAATTTTTTTAAAAAGTCTTAAGCTTAGGTTGAAGACCCCCATGACATGAAGATGGACAGCATGTTGACTATATCTCAATTGCTGTGTACAGACATGAAACTGACAAGATCTTCTGGAGATTTTGTACAAATGGAACCAGGTTCTGAATATGAATCACTAGGTGCAATATACTCGAATCCACTTGAGACATAGAACAGATTAGAAATGAATTTAAACTAATGGGTTTGCAGATGATACAGGGATTGTCATCTCATTTCCCCAGACCTTCAGTTTGTATGCTTACTATACATTCATATTCATTCTATGTTGAGGAAACTTCTGCATAGGTGCCTATTCTTATTTAATATGTGCATTGTCATATCATATTTGGCAATGGATACAATTAGCTTCCTCTCTCCTCTGAATCTAAACATTCATCCTGCTACCCTCAACATCTTCTTGTGATGCCCTCACAGAACCTACTTACAGTTCATCTTACAGGTCTCTTGTGGGTCCAGTGGTATCCTTGGTACCCTAAAAGATCACCAAGGCAATAGACCAAGCAACAGCCCCAAATCTAAATGGGCACCTAGAAATAAAAATAGACTTTGCCCAGTTTGTAACCTTTAGTTCTCAGTTCCCCTTCTTGTACAAGTTGTATCACTGATGACTACTAGTCTTCCTAAATAACTTCCTGTTGCCAGGGGGTCTTTATGTGTTATCTTCATTCCTCTTCTATAGGTCCAAAAATGTCCGTAGGATGTTTATTTATTCATTCAGACACAATGGGAATATTTCTTGAACTTTTAGAGCAGTTCTTGAGCTCTGAATGTAAGAGTAAGGAAGGACTAGTATTAAAATATTTATAATAAAATGTAAGTACCACCTTGAGGTTTCACAAGGTACTACAAAAGCACAAAACATGGGCCCCCAAAAAACTCTCTGCCCAAAGGAAATAAGAAGAAAGTAATGGTTCAGGGAACAGGTCTGTAAACTATGGAGACACTAATACGTTAAAGGCATGATGTTAGGCTGGATATGAGAAGCAGACAGTAAGAGAGGAGGAAGAATCAGATAAAGTCCATAGGGACTGAGAGCCACTAAAGTTCTATGGACTTCACCATGTTTCACTTTTATTATGTTTGTATTATTATTAGTCTATTCTGGAACGATTGTACAATGAAGAGATAATAGGAAAGGGATTCATATCGAATATCATTATAGAAATACAATTGGCCACATAGGATGAAGATCTAGATCAAGGTAATAAAATGCAGCAAAGAGATTTGTCCAGAGGTAAGAAGTTGAAGGCCTATGGAACAGTGGTGTGTGTGTGTGTGTGTGTGTATGTATGTGTGTGTGTGTGTGTATGTGTGTATGTGTGTGTGTGTAGTTGGTAGAGAAAGAGAAGCAAAAAGAGGGCATTTTTTTTTGACAATGACTGAGTAAACAGATGTCAGTATTAACATGAGGACTAAGAGCCGGACACTAAATAGTGGATTCAGCTTTAATAGAACAGGATAGGGAAAGCATGGGATTTGTTGGCAAGAGGAGGACAAAGATTAGAAATAACAGTCTACAGGACTAGAAGAGATTAGAAGAACAAATTATCTTCTATAATTACCAGGTGTTTAGATGCCATTTGAGTGAAACACTTTAGTCAGGCAAGGAGTTAGAAGCCCAATAGGTTGGGGAGTGAATTGAAAGTGGTTCTCTAAGGCAGTGAATGCATATTTTTAGAAAATCAATGAGAAAGGGGAGTGAGAGAATTAAAGCTGACTAGGTTTAATTTAAGAGGAAATAAAAATTAATAACACTTGAGCTGAGTGAAGGCCCAGAAGCTAGAGACTAAAAATCAGGGAAAGTAAGGATTACGGATAAATGTATAGTTACTGACACAAATGTGCTCAAGAAACAGTTTTTGGAAAAATGATAGAAGTTGGGATTATATTCTTTTTTAAAAGATTATTTATTTATTTATTTATTTATTTATTTATTTATGAGTACACTGTTGCTCTCCTCAGACACACTAGAAGAGGGCATCAGATCCCATTACAGATGGTTGTGAGCCATCATGTGGTTGCTGAGAATTGAACTCAGGACCTCTGGAAAAGCAATCAATACTCTTAACCACTAAGCCATTCCCTTCAGCCCCTGGGATTGTATTCTTTAGAGAAGACAAAGGAGAAACAAGTAAAAGAATAAATATAAAGATGGAGATGAAGGAGAAAAGGGTTTAGAGAATTAGTGGCTCATGATGTCTGCTTTTCCATCAAACAGGAGGCTTAGCCATTGTCACCAGTGAGACTGGGATAGATAGTTGAGGATGAGGTGAAAAGACAAAGCCACTGCATACCCAAGCCTGGAGCTGTACTCCTAAATTTTCAGCTACTCAGAGGCTGAGACAAGATGAATTCAAGTCCTGAATTCAAGGACTGTCTCCGTTATTGGAGGAGTCCAGGACCATCTCGGGTAGCACGGAGAGACCCTACTTCAAAGAGAAACGTATGAATAGGGCTGGAGATGTAGTCCCCAGTGGTAGAGTGCCTATGTAGCATAATCTATGTGAGACTCATACTGTTGGGAAGGTCAATAAGATGACCAAGCAAGAGAACCACACACTAGAGGGAATGATAGAGGAGTCGTCAGTCCAAGAATCCCCATTGCTAGTCAAAAGAATCTGTCTAGTCCAACTTCAGTATAAGTGAAACAACAAAGTAGACAAAGCACCTCTCCTAAGGACCACAGAACATTGAGGAAGAGGGACGGAAAGAATGTAAGAGCCAAAGGGCAGAGAGATGTAAAAGATATCTAGACATGACATGGTTTGGCCATTGTAATCATGGACTCTCTGCAGCTGTGATTGCCTACAGAAGACCTATATAAGTTGGGCCTGCCAGAATTTCACCATGGATGGGGAAGGGGCCCATGAGGCTCCAACTATTCTTAAGGGACTATGGTCAATTAACAGGCAAGACATGCTAATTAAACTCTGTGGACCACATAAGAAAAGACATAGAAGTAAGAGGAAGACATGTTGAGAAGGCAGTAGGAGAGGGAGGGGTTGGGAATGAAATCAACTAGAATTTGTTATATGAATGAAAGAAAGTGTTGAGCAATTAAAAAATATTACAAAGAAAGATCAGAGAACTTGCAGTGGAGAAGTATCTTAATGGTTAAATGCTCTGCTCTCTAAAACTCTAGAAAAACAATTTTGTCATGCTAATGCATAGGCTGTGATTCCCATACCCTCTATTCAAGTTGGGAAAGACTAAATATGCACCTCCATTTTATGAAAAGCTGGTGGTATTTCACATTCTAAAAAAGCTTTTATTTCCAAAGCCCTATACAAGAATGACCTCATTTTACCCTGTACCAATTCAAGAGTTCCTTTATCTGCTGGGAGGACTCATGTAGGAATGACAAATTGAATTAGACCATGATGCAACTCTGTATATTGTTGAAAAATAATGCCTTGACGTGCTCAGCTTTCTGAGTTCCTCTGCGTATTTTCCCAGGAGAAATGAGGCATTCCTTTCGCACTTGCTGAGAAACAAGATAAACAAAGTAATTATCACTTCATGTTTAATTTAATACAGCATTTATCTTCCACACATACATAACTATGCTCTCCCTTTATTTGATGGCTTATGTGGCCATGTATGTAAGCCTCAGGCTCCTTTAACTAGTTCCCAGCAATGTTCAATGCCCATAGCTCTACTATACAACTGTGCTTTACAGAGAATGATCTTATTAAAATCTCCTTTGCTCACTGGATGATTCTGTATATGCTGTTCTTATCTGGCATTTCAACAGGTAAGACCCCTTAGTGTCAGGAGTTTGAAACTCTTTTGTTTGAATGAAATGTTTTAGAAAAACCAAATTCTCTGTAAGCTTGGGTATAATTGTTTAATTAATTAGGTAATGAGAAGAAAGAAATCATCACTTCCTGGCAAGATGCCACTGTCTTAGCTTCCATAAATAAATATTAGTAAGTAGCAGAGGTACACAAAGGGAAAAGCCAACAGCGATGGTCACAACATACATCATGTGTGCATATTACACTTCACTTTTCTGAGTATTTTTGTATCTACTGTCTCATCTCATCCTCCAGTTCTTTAAATGGAGATATTAATATGCTATTGTGAATAGGAGACCCAAAGTCCAAAAATGTCCATCTTTTCAAAATACAATATAAGTTTTCATAATCTGTAAAGAACATCATTTTGATGATACCATTGTGGACAATATTTGAGAGTGATAGACAAAACTCGTTTGACTATTGGAAAGGCTATGAAGCACTATAAAAATTTGGTGAAAAATAGACTGTAACCAACTTTGTAGTGCATAAAAACAATAAAGCAGCCATGCATCTCACTCAGAAAAAAAATGTGTGCATTTCTATAGCATTAAAAAGTTCAGAATCTACAAATATTCACTGATAGAAGATAGATGTTTCCAGAAAATTCTGCTGTGCTTATTAAACACAAATGTCACAATGGTGACTTAATTGCTAAGATGCTTGTCATTTGACCATAAGCACCTTCGTTTGGATTCCAGCAACCTTGTAAAAGGTGGGTGTGGCAGCAGTATATACCTGGAGTCCCTGACTTGTTGAGTTAAGAAGAGTCCCTGGCAGTCAATAGTAAGCCATTCTAGAGCATCAGTGAGCTCCATGTTTACCAAGAG